TCACTCTAAAGCAGAGATGAGAAGGTAAGGGGGCAGGGAAACTAGAGTACTGGAAATGGAACAACCATAATGCAGCTAAAGAGCATGTTGACTCATTGTGAAAAATGTAGCTAATGTCATTGAGCAATTTGTATAGAAACTGTCAGATGGGAACCTAATTTGCTGTGCAAACTTTTAATGAAAACGATAAAATATTTAAGAAATAAAAGGAGCTACCAAAAAACCAAACCTGTTGCCATCGAGTTGATTCCGACTCATAGGACCCTGTAGGACAGAGTGGAACTGCCCCATAGGGTTTCCAGGGAGAGGCTGGTGGATTCAAACTGCTGACCTTTTGGTTAGTGGCCAAGCTCTTAACCACTGCGCATGCCACCTCCAGACAGAGCTGCCCATTTAGTCTCATGTATCTACTTGAGCTAAGAAGCACACTCTTCACGAGTATCATTTTATGTCCCATAGTCTAGTCTAATCTTTGTCTGAAGAATTAGCCTCAGGAATGGTTTTAATTCTGGGTTGACAGAGAGTCTGGGGCTGTGCTTTCCGGGGTTCCTCCAGTCTCAGACCATTAAGTCTGGTCTTTTTACTAAAATTTGAGTTCTGCACCCCACTTTTCTCCTTCTCCATCAGGGGCTCTCTGTTGTGTTCCCTGTCAGGGTGGTCATTGGTGGTAGCCGGGCACCTTCTAGTTCTTCTGGTCTCAGGCTGATGCAGTATGCCATTTGGCTTGAACTTCCCCACATTGTTTCAAATAAAGTCAGCTCCTTTGGGGAGAGCCTCCCTAGGCAAAATCTGAGTCTTACTCAGGTGCTGGATAGGGGCAGTAGCCTCTGGTCATGCCTCTTTAGGTATGGAACTCCTGTCCTAAGAGTAATTCTCAGCCTACCATGCTTGGTGTAGAGCCTCTGCCTTATGAGTGGGGCCTGGGTGGTGGACAGGAGCCCCCGACCTCAGCCACACCAGGAACTTAACCTCTTCAACTTGGAGTTGGAGGGGATGGGACTGCTGGCTTGCCTGCTCCTCCTGATGAGATACCGTATTTCTTGATTGGTAGTTGAGAGAGAGGAAACCCCATCTTAGCCACACTCATGCAGAGTGGAGCGTCTGTCAAGCTGTACTGGGGCCAGGGGAGGGAGGGAGTGGATCAGGACTCAAATGCCATGATATGTTATAGTTCTTACCAAGTTTTAGTAGATTTTCTGGAATAAGTATGTCTTTGTTTGCTGTATGCCCTTAGGACAATTTCCAAAGAGTGTCGTATTTTTTTGTTTTGTTTTTTTCTTATAGTTTTCACTACTTAAGCTAGTTTCTCTGGGGAACAGGTCCATGGAGCTCATGCTGTTCGAAGTACAAGTCATCTCATAACTTTTTAAAACTTCTTGTTCTGTCTTTTATTACGTCCTCCTCCCCTTTTTATTTTGTTGTTGAGAATATACACAGCAAAACATACAGTAATTCAACAGTTTCTACATGTACAGTTTAGTAACACTGAGTACCTTCTTTGAGTTGTATAACCATTTTCATCTTCCTTTTCTGATTTGTTCCTCCCTCATTAACATAAACTCACTGCTCCCTAAGGTTTCTATCAGATCTTTTGAGTTGCTGTTGTCAATTTGATCCCATATAGATAGTTCTTAAAAAAGCATAATGCTCAAGGCAGACTTTTTTTTACTAGTTAAGCTAAACTGTTATTCACTTTTAAGGTGGCTTCAGGAGATATTTTTGGTTTAAGGTTTAAAGATTATCTCAGGGAAGTAGTTTCAGGGGTTCATCCACCCTCTGTGGCTCCAGAAAATCTAGAGCTCATTAGAATTTAAATTCTGTTCTACATTTTCCCCGTTTTGATCAGGATTCTTCTATGGAATCTGTGATCAAAATCTTCAGTAATAGTACCCAGGCACCATCCAGTTCTTCTGCTCTCATGGCAGAGGAGGCAGTTGTTCATGACGGCAGTTAGCCACACATTCTGTATCTTGCTCCTATTCTTGACTCTCGTCATTCCTCTGAAGCTCCAGGAAAGTAGATACCAATTGTTGTGCTGTGGATGGCTGCTTGCAAGCTTTTAAGACCCCAGACACTATGCAACAAACTAGGAGGTGGATAAGAAGCACTAAACACATTATTAGGCCAATTAACTGGGATGTTCCGTGAAACCATGAGCTTAAACCTCCAAACCAAAGAACCAAATCCCATGTTTGGTTGTACATAAACAGCCTCAGCAGCTACTCTTCTTTTTTTATTGTTGTAAATGTATCTGTAACTCAACTTTTGCTAATTTTTACAGGTGTACAACTTACTACACACATCCTGTTTAAATTCCAAGTTTGAATAATTCTATTATTTTTCTTGATTTAGTCTTGACAAGTATGTCTGTTTTCTTAGAATGATCAAGATGTCTGTTTTTAGAAATAGAGATGCATGTGTGTGTATTTACAGATTTTTTAAAAATTGTACTTTAAGTGAAAGTTTACAATTCAAGTTAGTCTGTCATATAAAAATGTATACATACATTGTTATGTGACCCTAGTTGCTCTCCCTGTACTGTGACAGCACACTCCTCCTTTCCACCCCTGATTTCCTGTGTCCGTTCAACCAGCTCCTGATCCTGTCTGCCTTTGCATCTCACCTCCAGACAGGAGCTGCCCGTTTAGTCTCATGTATCTACTTGAGCTAAGAAGCACACTCTTCACGAGTATCATTTTATGGCCCATAGTCCAGTCTAATCTTTGTCTGAAGAGTTGGCCTCGGGAATGGTTTTAATTCTGGGTTGAGAGAGTCTTATGCCGTGCTTTCCGGGGTTCCTCCAGTCTCAGACCATGAAGTATGGTCTTTTTACTAAAATATGAGTTCTGCACCCCACTTTTCTCCTTCTCCATCAGGGGCTCTCTGTTGTGTTCCCTGTCAGGGTGGTCACTGGTGGTAGCTGGGCACCATCTAGTTCTTCTGGTCTCAGGCTGATGCAGTCTGGTTTATGTGGCCCTTTCTGTCTCTTGGGCTAATACTTTTCTTGTGTCTTTGGTGTGCTTCATTCTCCTTTACTCCAGGTGGGTTGGGACCAATTGATGCATCTTAGATGGCCACTTGCTAGCTTTTAAGACCCCAGACGCCACTCACCAAAGTGAGATGCAGAATTTTCTTAATAAACTTTGTTATGACTGCTGACCTAGATGTCTCCTGAAACCTTGGTCCCCAGACCCCTGCTTCTGCTACTCTGTCCCTTGAAGTGTTTGGTTTATTTTCAGCTTTTTTACTGTAAAGTTAACTTTTTTTTGTTTTTATATTTACCAAGTCTTATATCCTGTGTATTTGCTTTAAAGTTATTTCAATAATTCCCTCACTCTTCACCTATAAAATCTTGTATACTAACTTTTGTAAGTTTATTTGACTAGTTTGTTAATCCAGTATCCTGTGAGCTACCAGGAGGTTTGGATAGTAACAACAAAAAGATTCTATTTCTGTGTTTGTTAGTATAGTGATCAGTGAAACCACTGCACCGGGGTCAGTTTTGCACATCTGGTTGTATCTTCAGTCTTCATCCAGACGTTTCTCTTTGCTTCCCCAAGTCAGGATGATGTCCCATATTATTGGGTCTTGATATTTTTTTTTTTAAGCCTGGCATTCGTTCCATCCTTGCTGATTTTACATGCTTCCAACCTAGCAAGAAAAAGGAGGTTTTGAGTGTGGGAGCTCCTTTGTGTCCAGTTGTCTGTATTGAATCAGGGAATGTTTGTGGGATCCTGAGACTCTTCTTGCTGACTCTGAGGGTAAGTGTAGTAGGGTGGGTAAGAACATGGCCTCTGCAGCCGGACTGCCTGGGGTGGAATCCTGGCTCTACCATGTAGTGGCTTGTGACCATGGGAGTTACTATCCAGCCCCAGTTTCCTCACTTTTAAAATTGTAATAGTTACTTCATAGCCTTATTGGGAGTGTTTAAAAAGTTAATATATCTAAAAAAACTGTAACAGTGCCTCGGACATAGTAAGTACCCGATAAATGACAGTGGTGATAATATTGATGATATTAGTGATCTCAACATTATAGAGACCGTTTCTCAGAAACACCAATTCAGCCCTTGGAGATTTCCGTTTGTATTTCTCATATGCGTCTCATCCCATTTATAGTTATTTCTTGAATAAATCCCTCCTAGTGTGGGATATGTGGATGTTTTTCTTTCCTTGAGCCTTCACTGATCAAACTGTTCCTTATTTCCCTATTTGGACATTGAAGTGCTTAAATGGGGAGGAAGAGTTAGACATCTGTGATCAAGTAACATTCTATTCTAGAAATTTCTTTGAAATTTGTCTCTTAGCTTCTTTTACACCAATCTCAGGTTTTAGTTCTGATCCTGCGATTGTAAATAAAACAAACAAAAAGCCAAAACTCTGAAATCCCTTCTTTGTTGCTTAACTGATGATTTTGTCCTTGGCCCTGTACCCACCATACGTATCCTGTACAACCACTCATAGCCTTCAGTCACAAATTCAGCTTCTCTCCAATTTAGATCGACCCACTAACAAATTCTCATTTCCTTTCTCTACGCTTCCAACTGCATAGTGGACATTTCCTGAAAGCCCTAGAGGGATTTTAACTTTTGCTTCTTCTAACCCCTTTGTCCTCCTCCTGCCTTCTTTCTCTTACCCCCATTCCTTCCCATGTACCTTTTCTCACACGACCTCCTGGAAAAGTTCTGAGTCAGTTACCTGGGAGTCATGTTCAACCCTTCCATCTCTGTCAGCCCAGTACAAATCGGTGACTACCATCTCTGCTTTCCTGCATAATAGACAACGAAGTTATAAGTGTGCTGACTCAATAATTAACTTACTTGAAGTTATTTATCCTCTGGTTTATTTCCCCCACTGAATAATACAAAATTAGATAAAGACACAATATTGAGTTTTTAATGAACTCTGACCTCTGAATACTTGCTAAACAAGTTTTTATATATTTTGACCACACTGCTCAATTTTGGTGACTTCAGATTAATTAGGATTGTGTTTTTACAGGACACAGTGACATTTAAGGATGTAGCTGTGGACTTCACCCAGGAGGAGTGGCAGCAAATGAAACCTGCTCAGAGGAACTTGTACCGGGATGTGATGCTGGAGAACTATAGCAACCTCGTCACAGTGGGTAAGAGTAGTTTTGCAGTTTAACTCAGAATTCCTTTCCATTTCTAAATCGTGTGAAGACTAACTGGCTAGATGAATCTGGCCTTTCTTTTCTTCACATGACTGTATGTGCTGTAGTCTGCAAGGTAAGGGCTAAGTACTTGTTTCATTGTGCTTCCTTGGAATTTCCTCCCTCCTCATCCTCCATAAGCCCTCAAGCCCTCAGAGGTCTGCCCATAATCTGGGCTGGGTTTTTTCTGTATTTATTTATTTTTGTCTTCGGTGTTAACATCCAAGTCCTTTGCCTTTCCCCATACTAGGCTGTCAGGTCACCAAACCGGATGTGATCTTCAAGTTGGAGCAGGAGGAGGAACCCTGGGTCGGAGAGGAAGAAACATTGGGAAGGCACTGTCCAGGTGAATAAGTGAAAACCAGGCAGCTTTGAGAAAGCCAGGTGGCAGTTGTTTAGAGAGGTCGATACCATTTCACATTTTCCAAGATCTTCTTAAAGGCACTAGTCTTCTAGAGTGACAAATGGTATAGATGTCTTGGTTTACTGTGACATATCCATATACTATTCTTCCTATATTTAGACTATCTCCTTTTACCAAAGTTAGAGGGCCAGTAGCCCCTCCTACCTGATTTCAGGATGACAACCCTCCCTAATTCATTTATAACGGTACATTCAGCATTATTGTCGCTATCTATGATCTGTAGGCTCTCTCCTTCGTGTTCGTAGTTTTTATTTTCTTATGCATTTGGTATTTCATGGGTGTGTAGTATTCTAAAAATGTATTTGTCTGACACCTGATTCCTTTTCATTTTGAAAAGCATCAGAGTTCTGTTTTGTAAAGATATCCACACTCTGCATTGTACTTCACAGCCTTTACAATCCCATGCAGCTTTCAAGATTTCTGACTTAGAAACTGATGCTATCTCCCTGTTGACGCCTACCTTCCTGTCCTTTAATTTTTTAAAATACAATACATAGACTCAGTTAAAAAATACAAATCGTCCAACAGATACGTTGAAAAGCACTAGTTCTCCTCTCACCCTGACATCTCACCCCTTCCTTTCCCCAACTGCATACACTACTTCTTTTTCAGAGTTATCCAGGCTGTTCTTTATTGTTTGTTTTACAAATTGTTTGAATTCTAGACTCAACTGTCTATTTCCAGAGAAACCTGTTGGAATTTTTATTGGATTTGTGTTGGATGTATAAGTTAAGTTTTGGAGATTTGACATCCTTATAATGTTGAGGCTTCCTGTCCAAGAACATGCTCTGCTTTTGTTTGGATCTATCTACTTTTCTTTTAAGTTATGCATTTTGTTTTTATTGTGGTAAACTGTATATAACATAAAATTTACGATTTTAACCATTTTTTAGTGTACAATTCAGTGGTATTAAGTACATTCACAATGCTGTGTAACCATCACTACTATCTATTTCCAGATCTTTTTTTATCATTCCATACATAAACTCTGTACCCATCAAACAATTACTCCTCATTACCCTTTTGGCCCAGCCCGTGATAACATCTGTTCTACTTTCTGTCTGTGAATTTGCAGCGGGTTTGGTTTGGTTTTTTAGGTACCTCATATAAGTAGAATCATACAATATTTGTCCTTCTGTGACTGCGTTATTTCACTTAGAAGAAATGTCTGTTCAGGTCCTTTGCCCATATTTTAATTGGGTTGTTTGTTTTTTGTTGTTCTTTATATATTCTGGATATTAATCCATTATCAGATATATGATTTGAAAATATTTTCTCCCATCCTGTAGGTTATCTTTTCCTGTTGATAGTGTTTTTTGATGCACAAAAGTTTTCAATTTTGCTGAGGTCCAATGTATCTGTTTTTTCTTTTGTTGCTCATTGCCACACCCAAGGTCATGAAGCTTTTCCTTTATATTTTCTGTCACAGATTTTATAATTTAACTCTTATATTTAGTTCATTGATCCATTTTGAGTTAGTTTTTTACATAGTGTAAGCTAACAGTTCAAGTTCCTTCTTTTGTACCATTTATTGAAAAGACTGTCTTTTCCACATTGAATAGGCTTGAAACTTTTTCAAAAATCAATTGACCATATATATAAGGGTTTATTTCTGGACTGTCTATTCTATTCCATAGGTCTGTCTTGTTGCCAGTACCACACTCTTTTCATTGCTGTAGCTTTGTAATAAGTTTGAAATCAGAAAGTGTGAGTCTTCCAACTTTATTCTTCTTTTTCAATATTGGCTATTTGGGGTCCCTTAAAATTCCATATGAATTATAGGATGGGTGTTTTCTATTTCTGTGAAAAGCATAATTGGGATTTTGATGGAGATTGCATTGAATCTGTGTATTGTTTGGGTAGGTAGTAATATCATCTAAACAGTCTTAAGTCTTCCAGTCCGTGAACACAGGATATCTTTCCATTTATTTAGGTCTTCTTTAATTTCTTTCACCAATGTTTTGTAGTTTTCAGTGTACAAATCTTTCACCTACTTGGTTAAATTTATTTCTAAGTTTTTTATTCCTTTGATGCTATTGTAAATGGAATTGATTTCTTAATTTCTTTTTTGATTTGCTCATTGCTAGTATACGCAAATGCAACTGATTTTTGCATGTTGACTTTGCATCTTGCAACTTTGCAGAATATGTTTATGAGCTCTAACAGGTTTTGGTGGACTATTTTGAGTTTCCTACATACACGATCACGTGGTCACTCAATAAAGATACTATTCTAGGCATAAGGATATGTTGTCCAAAATATTGAAGTTGTCTGTCCTCGTGGAGTTTATAATTTATAGGTAACTAGAGTCCCCAAGATTTTGCATGTAAGAAAATATCTTTTTTTTGACCTTTTATTTGATTGATAGCTGTGTATAAAATTTTTAATCCTCTATTAGAGGACGTTGTGGACAGCTGCACTTAAAATCTTGTGTGGCTCTCTGTATGGAGATATATTTCCTTTTCTCTTGGGTAAATACCTAGGAATGGGATAGCTGGATCATATGGTGGGTATAAGTTTACTTCTTAAGAACTGCCAAACTGTTTTCCAAAGTGGTTGTACCATTTTGTACCATTCCTATGAGGACTTTAGACAGTTCTCTACTGACTGCTATCTTCGAATGTTGCTTGAAGAAGTTTGAAGCCTGATTGTTTCCCATCATGTGTGACTTGATTTATTTACCTGGTCGCCCATAGGTTTCTTTTTTTATAAAACCTCACAACTTTATGTGGCCTTGTCTTATATTGATCAGTCAGTCTCAGTTTTTCCTTTCAACTTATGGATTCATGTTTTTGCTCTTGTAGCATCATTAGATAGGTCTGATGCTGGTTCCTTTTACATTTATCATTATTTATCTTTGAATGAGAATATTTATTTCTCTGTCTTCTTTACAGTAGTATTGGAGATTGTCCAGAAAAATCTCTGAGCTATTTGGAAGCTTCTGCAAATCACAGTGGAGTCCTGTATCATAAGCGGTTTTGTGTTGGGAGCTGATTTATCCTTTACTTCTCCCCAGTCAAGGAGAAATGATCATTTGCATGGTTCCTGGAGCACACAGTGTGTCTCTCCCACCCTTTTACACTAACAGACTGCTTTATACAAGAATGATGGTCTTTGCATCTCCTTGTGTAGCCTTGCCTTCTCTGTCATTTGGCAGGGCCAAATGAGGTTCGTCATGTTTCTACCACCAGTCTCAACACATCCGGGTCCCATTGTTGCAAACAGGGCTCACTGATTCTGCTCTCAGAGTGTGCCTCCTGTTTGGAAGGCTCTGCACTCTGTGGTTTCCATCTGACACAAGAAACAGCAGCCACTGGGTGGGCATCCTTCCTGCCAGCCCAATCTGTATCATGGTCTTCTCTCATACACTGGAGCTGGAGTTTACTTTCAGTGTCCTAAAAGATGTAGCTTATTTTTCAGTTTCTCATTCTTCATGTTTGCAAAGAGAAAGCAAGTGTGTTTAATTCTACCATATTGAAATAGGAAGTCCTCTATACTACGTTTGATCCTCTGGATCACTCTTGGAAATCTTTTTCTTCTTCGATCCTCCCTACAGGATTCTGATTTCTCCTTAGTTCCTGTTTATTGTTCATTTCTTCCTTGTTTACAAAATTTAAGAGTAATACCAATATAACTGAATATAGTTTAAGATTTCTTCAGTTTTGTGTTATTCTCCCATAGGATATATTCTACTAGGGATGTATGGTCAGAATACTATGTTTTAAAGTTACTTGAAATAATTATTCTCTGTGTGATTATGCCCCAAACTTGATATATAGGCTTCAATTTGTTTTTAATATTTAGGGATTCTTTGACTTCTTCTTAAAAAAAAAAGTGTTTTCATTATGAAAAAGCATTTACATGATTCTAATGTCAAAACTGTAAAACAGATTACAGAGAAGTCATGCTTTCATCTAGGATCTACATGTATGTAAAAACAAAAAATCAAGTTGTAGAACAATGCTTATGTTACCTTTTGAGTTAAAAAGAATGAAAGAATAATCCAAAAACTAATAAAAATAGTTACTTATAGGGTGAAGGAGGAAAAAATGTTTCAGAACCAGCGTGAGAGCTACTGATCTTTGAATATGTTGCTGTTTGGTAATTTTCCAATTTTTATCAACTCAATATAAATGGAAGATGAGGTTAAGTAGTCTCATATCACCATCTCCACTTTTCCTGCCCTCTTTCTCTGAACATAGACATACTACAATTTTTGGCTAAGTTAATTTTTAGTGCTTACTTTACTATGATTGTTGTACGTGTCATTCACCACTGAATCAAGAAAACCAAACCAAACGCACTGCCGTTGAGTCCACTCTGAATCATGGCGACTCTATAGGACAGAGTAGAACTGCCCTATAGGGTTTCCAGGGAGCACCTGGTGGATTTGAACTGTTGACCTTTTGGTTAGCAGCTGTACCTCTTAACCACTACACCAGCAGGGCTCCACTGAACCAAGAAGTGACTGTTAATTATGTATCTTTATATAGCTTTTTGTTCTTCCTGGAATTCCTAATTATCTTATTTTTCCTGCTTCCTTGATTTTCTGTGCACTTTTAGTATAGAGTCTCAAAATCTTTGAATAAAGACTCCTTCAGTGTCATTAGTTTACCTCATTTTAATGCAAGAAGAGATAAGAGGGAAATTCCAAGGATTTTGTAGCTAACAAATTTTACCTTTATCTCTTCCTCCTCCAAATTTAGATATCTGTTTAAATATTATAAGTTGAACAGTAACTTAAAAAGCAATACCGGCAATTAGAAAAGCAGATTGTTTTAGAGGTTAAAGGTTTTATTTCACAAGATATAGTAACAATCTCTGAAGTCCAGGTGCTTTGAAACCACCTTTTTTACAAGTAACAGTTACTCTTAAATTTTATAATTGAAATCAGAACGTAATATTCCAGGTTATAAATTGTCATATGATTCTAAACACTGGACAGGAGGGATGTGAGATTGGTTATCTCTTGAATACTCTCAGCATAACAGGCATTTTGAGCTAGCCTTATGACTCAGAATGATATGTGTTTTTCTGAACTGAGGAGAAGGGGCATTTTTCTTGTCTTCCTGACATTTTTTTCCGCTGTGCTCACAGCCAAGCACTAGAATTCCGTTAGCACCAATAGAAAAGATCAGATTTAAGAATCTTACACTTAAAATATCTAAAAGGAAGTGGACAAAAATAACTCTAATTCAAATGGAATACCGGGCATGTATTATTCAGGTACTACAGTAACTGTCATTAATTTTTTTCACAGTCCCTAAAAAAAATCTAAAGTTTCTCTCGATACTATTTTTACGTGGCCAAGCACATCCAGTAATCAGTCAGTTTCATTTTTCTTCGTGTGTGTGTGTGTGTGTGTGTGTGTGTGTGTGTTTGAGACAACCTCTCTGGAGTCCTCTGCCCATTTGGATTAATTAATGGCTAGACCTCCTGCTCAGTTGCTACCTTGGAACTTCTCTCCAATTTCATACAAATCAGTTTTACCTCTTTCTCTGTGAGATCCCTGTGTGCTAGATTCCACTCTCCCCTCATTCTTGGTTTATACCCTCATTTTGGTAGTACATGTGCTCTAGTTACTTCCTGAGGAAAGGTACATTTCAAATAATGTTTTTGAGCCTAGCAAGTCTGGGGACATCTTTATTCTACCTACACTTTGTTTACGTATAAAATTCTAGGCAATAAACTATTTTCCCTAAGAAATGTAAATGCATTTCTCCACTGTCCTCTTTTAGTGTTACTGATGCCATTCTGATTTTTATAACTTTGTGTGTAACCTGTTTTCTATCTCTTATTCTCTCAATGTGTTGAGAATCTTCTCTTTGTTCCCAGAGTTCTGAAATTTTTTGATGATGTCTTCTGGGGTAGAGGTTTTTTTTTTCCATTAACCGTGCTGGATATATGGTGAATCCCTTTGGTTTACAAATATGTTTTAATACTTTAAAATTTTTTGAAAACTAATATTTTTACTCTTCCATATTCCCTCTCCTATTAACATGATACTGACATTTATGGACTGAGTGTAATTTTCTTTTTCCTATTTCATCTTTATGCATTGTTGTTCCACTTTCTAGGAGACAGACTCAACTTTAATTTCCAAATTATGTTTGTTCATTTTTAATTTCTAAGGACTATTTCTTATTTTGATTGTTCTCTTTTTTATTTCACATCTCTAGTATCTCTGTGATGTTAATTATAATCTTTTTCTTTGAAACCTGCTTCTTTCCAATATTTATGTTTCATCAGTATTTCATATTTGTTTTTGTGTCTTTTATATTAAATGTTATTCTCAAAATTCTGGTGATTCTTGGCTGTCAGTTCATATTTAAGAATGATGGGTTAAAACTGTTTGTGATCTTTATGTGTCTATAGTTAGGGATTTTTGATTAGTGGACTCTACTATAGAATGGTTGAATTAGAACCTAGGACTTTATCATGGAGTCCCAAATGCCAGTATCTGTAGGCCTTTTCTTTTTAATCCTCTCATCTCCTACCTGGAGGTACATGCCCGCATTCATGAGGATAAGGAACAGAAAGGAATTGGAGGTCTCACTATTCAGTATATAAACTTTCACATAATTCCCTGTTTTTTAATATGAGGCATTTCCTCTGCATCTACTTCATCTGTTCCTAAATCTGTAGCTTCTCTGGCTCATTTTCTCTAGTAAGTAAACCTTCCTTTTCCTGCTGAGATGGTGGAGACATGGCCACTTCCTACATAGATTGAAGGGAAGAGTGTATTGGTTAAGGTTCAGTTACAGACAAAATACTAGTTCTTATTTCAAGAAGGAAAAAATTTATATCAAGTTATTAAATGGCTTACAGAATCTTTGGGAGGAATGAAAGGATAGACTGTAGGATAAGCTTCCAGGAATGATTCTCAAACTCACACCATAGAACTGAGTTGCTAAGAGAGCCCCTTCTGTCACCACGATCAAGAAGTTGTTTTTGGTTAAACCAGGAAGATGCTAGCTGTGGACTCCAGAAACAAGCTGCAGCTTTTGTAGTATCATGAGCATAATGTATGCCTCATACCCAGTCTGTTTCTTCTTTTTATTCAGTTCTGAATGAAAATGTTTTGTTAGTGCATTGGATATGGTGAATGTAAATCATATCCAGAAACTTACGTACTGTGTCTAGGAAATGTAGTTTTTGACTGTCTCAGCCTCTTCAGGTTGAAAAAACACAGAAGTCTGGAATAGAGGTTACCTAAGCAAAGTCACAATACTTGCATCAGGGCATCTAACTACTCCCCATTCAAACTTTTCAGCCCCATTCTTATCCCCACCTTTTGAATACCTGAATCCTCTAGTGCATGAGCTTTTATTGCTTATTGGCATTTTCATCCTTGTAGTACTTTTACTTTAGCTTCTTAGCTCTGCTATCACTTAATAGTTCCCCATAAACCTTTCATCTTCCAGTATTTTGTTGAAATCTCTTGTTCACCCTTGTTTAAATTCCTTTTTTTTTTTTTTTTGTCCTGATGGGTTTGACCTTTCATTTTTTGACTGTCGTTTTAATGCAGTTTTAGCAAGGAAGAGAAATACACGTGTACATTCAGTCTACTGTGTTTAACCACAGTGTTAATTTTATCCTCTGGTCATTCATCACCCTATCCAGCTATTTATGTGTCCACCCTTTCATCTTAATTATTTTATTTATTTTACTGATTTTTATGTTGTACAGAGACAATTTGAAAAGCAATCAAAGCTACTTTGGCCTATAAATATCAGTTTTCTCTTCCTAATATTTTCTATAGAATTTACCTTCTCAAACCTTAGGAACTAGGGATGTTTGCACTTTGGATTTCTTTCACATTGGGAAACTAAGGCCAACATCAGACATTCAACTTCATGTGAGAAAACTTCTGAAATGTTATTAATAGTATAGTATTAAAAAATTACAAATGATATTTGGTTTTACATTTTAGAAATTTGGGAAGTTGATGAGCAGATCGAGAAGCAACAGGAAACACTTGTGAGGAAAGTCACATCCATCTCCAAGGAAACTCTAATTAAAGACAAAGTCAATGAATGCAAAAAGGTTGCAAAAATAATTCATCTGAACTCAGATATTGCTACTTCAAGACAAAGCTTCTGTGAATGTGACTCACTTGATAAGGATTTGGAACACAATTTAGACTTACTTTATTTTGAGAAAAGCTGTGTAAAAGAGAAAAATTATGAATATAATGAGTATGGGAAACTTTTTTACCATTTCTCATCTCATGTAACTCCTTTTAAGTGTAATCAGTGTGGACAAGAGTTCAATCATAAATTTGACCTCATCAGACATGAGAGAATTCATGCTGGGGAGAAACCCTATCAATGTAAGGAATGTGGAAAAGCCTTCAGCAGGAAGGAAAATCTTATTACACATCAAAAAATTCATACTGGGGAAAAACCTTATAAGTGTAATGAATGTGGAAAGGCTTTCATTCAGATGTCAAACCTTATTAGACACCAGAGAATTCATACCGGGGAAAAGCCTTACGCATGTAAGGATTGTTGGAAAGCCTTCAGTCAGAAATCAAATCTCATTGAACACGAGAGAATTCATACTGGAGAAAAACCCTATGAATGTAAGGAATGTGGGAAATCCTTCAGCCAGAAGCAAAACCTTATTGAGCATGAGAAAATTCATACTGGGGAGAAACCTTATGCATGTAATGAATGTGGTAGAGCTTTTTCTCGAATGTCATCTGTTACTCTACACATGAGAAGTCACACAGGGGAGAAACCTTATAAATGTAATAAATGTGGGAAAGCTTTCTCTCAATGCTCAGTATTTATTATACATATGAGAAGTCATACAGGTGAGAAACCCTATGTATGTAGTGAATGTGGGAAAGCATTCTCTCAAAGTTCATCCCTTACCGTACATATGAGAAATCATACAGCTGAGAAACCCTATGAATGTAATCAATGTGGTAAAGCCTTCAGCCGGAAAGAAAACCTCATTACACATCAGAAAATTCATACTGGAGAGAAACCTTATGAATGTAATGAATGTCGGAAAGCCTTTATTCAGATGTCAAACCTTATTCGACACCAGAGAATTCATACTGGTGAGAAACCCTATGCATGTACAGTATGTGGGAAAACCTTTAGCCAGAAATCAAATCTTACTGAACATGAGAAAATTCATACTGGGGAGAAACCATATCATTGTAATCAGTGTGGAAAAGCTTTCAGTCAGAGACAAAATCTCCTTGAGCATGAGAAAATTCATACTGGAGAGAAACCATTTATATGTAACGAATGTGGTAAAGCTTTCTCTCGAATCTCATCCCTTACTCTTCATGTGAGAAGTCATACGGGGGAGAAACCCTATGAATGTAATAAATGTGGAAAAGCCTTCTCTCAGTGTTCATTACTTATTATACATATGAGGAGTCATACTGGTGAGAAACCCTTTGAATGTAATGAGTGTGGGAAAGCATTCTCTCAAAGAGCATCCCTTTCTATACATAAGAGAGGTCATACAGGTGAGAAACGCCGAGTGTACTGAATGAGAGAAGGCCTTTTCTTCAATTCAAACCGTATTCTAACTTTTAAAATATCTTGGAATAAACAACAACAACAAAAATTCATCACATCTTTATGGAAAAAAATTGTAAAACCATTAAAGGGCGTAAGACTTGAATATATGCAGAGAAATACCATGTACCTAAATGGGAAAATCCAATATCATAAAACTATCAGTTCTCCCAAATTGATAGACTAATGCAGTTCCAGACAAAATCTCACAAGAATATTTTAGGATATTTATAAAATGATCCTAAAATCATGTCAAATAGAAGTCTATAGATTGCTGAGACAATTTTGAAAAAGAACAAAGAGGAAACACCCTCATACCATATTCTATGCATATTATAAAAGTTATAGTCTTTAAAAATTGATCTGTATTAATGCATTAATAGGTAAATAAACAGGTTTTACAGAAGAGTGCCTAGAGCAGTCCCCAGAGTATATGTGAATGTGATGTTAGACAAGACATCATGAATAAGTAGGGAAATGATTTCTTAGTTGATACAAAATGTTGAACTATTTGACTCTCCATATTGGGGAAAATAAACCTTACAACATATAAAGAAACAGTTCCAAAGGGTTTGAACACTGGACTGTGAAAAGCCAAACTTTGAAACTATTAGGAGAAAATACAGGAGACTGTCTTTATGACGTTGAGGCAGATAAGCATTTTCTAAAAATAAAAATACCCTGCAATTCCACTTCTGCATATATATCCTAAAGAAACTCACAGGGGTGTGTGTGTGTGTGTGTGTGTGTGTGTGTGTGTGTGTGCCTGAATTGGAAACAACCTAAACATTCATCAGAGGGGTAATGGATAAATAAAATATGATATATCCAAATGATGGAATTCTATACAACAGGTAAAAGCAGTATATTTGTAACATGGATGGTTATCTGAAACAATGTCAAATGAAAAAGTCAAGATACAAATGATATTGTATAATAACATTTCATGGAAATTGAAATCACAAAGAACAGAGCTATGTTTTTATTATATGTATGTAAAATTAAATGGATTAGAAGGGTATATACCAAATTATTGATAGTGGTTGTGTCTAGCGTATTGGGATTGGTGATGCTGATTGAAAGGGGCCTTTAGCTTTACTTGTAATTTTTTATGTCTTAAAAAGAAGACTGGTAGCATATAAAATAAATCTTCAAGTTATGTTGTGTCATGGTAATATGGGTGTCTTCTAGCATTTTTCTACTTATTTCTCAGAATTAAAGGACCAGGGGAAAGCCTGTGCCTATAGAAAATAAGTTATAATGGATCCATACGCCTTATCAGATGCTAAACTATTTCACTGAAATATTTCCAGAAAATTAGAAATGATAGTCATGTTTACTATGTAATATAAAATTAATATATTTTCTCAATTCTGCGATGCATATTTTTTTACACTAACGTTTTTGGAATCAGGACCCATCTTTCAATTAATGGTGTCTTAGGTTTAAGTAAATATGTAATTTATTAAAAATTTTAAAATCAGATGACAGTGTAACAAATCAAATATGTTTTTACTTACTATTTTAGGTCATCATGGTATACTATTCATGGTCCCCATCTGTTCAGTATGTCTAGCATTATTTGATAACATATTTGTTGTTTTCATAACTAATTAATATGGGCAGAGTATGGAGAGAATACAATTTTTATTAGAAATCGACTCTGGGATATTAGTTTTCTTGTCCTGTGAGTTCCCATGTGACTAACATAGGTGTTAGTATTTTTAATTATTACAATATTTTGAAATGAGAATCCCATTTTATTTTGAAATGGCCATAAGCAGTCCATCGAATGATCATTTTATGCTTTCCACAACCCTTGATTTATATAACCTCTCTTTTTTGAGTTGGAAGCAATGGAGGTAGTCTCAGGCCCTAGTGATAACATAGTTCCTCTAAAAGGATCTGATTCTCTGTAACAATGCATGAACCAGGCATTACATAAGACGATTTTTTTATTATGCCATCTCCACAATATTACTTGGTATAAAGAAAGCCATTAATGCCTTTTTAAAAGGGGATTGGGGCTGGGGGTGTTGATCAAATGAAATCTTTTGCTGTTACGTTTGAACATCAACTACACCTGTTTGAAGCTAATTTAACAAAATTAAGTCCCTTTCAAACTAAAATTGTGAGGAACAATCATGACTATCAATGTTTGACTTTTAGCAGCTGTATTTGAAGATTGGCAATGACTTATGAGTGAATATAGCAGGGACTTATTTTTATGAAAACTACCATTTACCAAAACTTAAATATCTATATGAGTATTAGTGTTTTCATAATCTCTTCTTTAGTAGGTTATATGATAAATCCAGCTTAGGAAGCACACATAACTGTTTTTGGTAATGGTTTTCAAAGTTAATGTGTTCTCTAGTCAAGAAAACCTGTGTAAATATTTTTAGTTTCAAGAAGACCTTTTTTTGTCTAAATTGTCATTTTCCTCTGTTAACTTTGTGTTTCATGTTTCTTTATTTGGCCTGTACTTCATATGGCTTAAGTTCTCTGCCCCTTTCTTTATTTCGCTGATCTCGGACTCCAGCCCCTCCAGAGGTTGCACTGATGATTCCCCTAAATCTCATTGTTAGACTAGTGTGGCCTGGGGCCTCCAGATAAACAGACACTCCTACCAGGTATGACATTCCAGGGGATTAAGAAGAACCTCCTAGGATCCAAGGGCAAAGACCAGACCTCTCTTTGGGCAAGGGTAAATTCTTTACTCCTCAGTTACGCCTCTGAGTTGTCAGATCCTCCTTCAGGACTGAGGCACTCATACCTCATGCCAACTGCTGGCAACTCAGCTAAGTTCCTGTATAGGAATTGCTTTCAGGTGACGGGAGCTGCCTTGCCAAAGGCTATACTGCCTCCCCATGGGCAGATGGGCAGTGTTGTCTCTTTGCCTCAATTTAGGATGATTCCAAACAGCCATCCCATCTCTAGAGCTCACTGAAAGATTGCAACTGCATCACAGCTCAAATTCTCCTTGCACCTGTTCTGCTTCCCTCATTCCTTACAAGTGGTGTTCCCACAAACTCTCCCCCAGCAAACCTCCTGACCACAAATCATCCCAGAATCTGTTGCCCAGGGAACCTGACATAGGGCAGTAGGTCATTTTACCACAGCAGTCTCAAACTGAGAAAATGTTTTAATGTTTTTTTATTCATTTAAAAATAAACTCTACATGTTAACATATCTTTTATGAAAAACAACTATTGTTTAAACAAAAACATTTAGTGAGAAGGGTGACTTTATCAATTTTTGCAAATCCTTTTAATGTGTGGCTTCGCAGTGGTTAAGAACTCACCTGCTAACCAAAAGGTCGGCAGTTTGAATCCACCAGTTGCTCCTTGGAAACCCTATGGGGCAGTTCTACTCTGTCCTATAGTGTTACTATGAGTTGGAATCAACTCGACAGCAGTGGATTTGGGTTTTTTAATAAAGAGCCAGATTCTCATATCTGTTTCTGCATTCAGTCTGTATCAATGTCATGTGTCACGTAGGCCCCGGGAAACTCTGCTGTACACTTATGAGAGAATGTGAGTGAAAAAGGAAAATAAAGTCCTAGCATCGTTACAAAAATAGTTTTCACCTCAAGGATCCCAAAGGATTCCCAGATCACTCTAAGAACTACTGTTGGACATCTGGCCTGTCTTCAAAAACTAAATATCATAAACTAAAGGGATCAGGGAGACACTGGTACACAATAATATAATAAGTGCCTCCAGATGGAGAGCTTGCAAAGCAAGAAGGAATGGTAGGCAAAGAAAAAGTTTAATGCATGGTGTCTTAGGCTGGGTTCTCTAGAGAAGCAAAACCAGTGAAGCATATTTTTTTTTAAAAAACCAATTCCCGTAGAGTCGATTCCAACACATAGCGGCCCTATAGGAAAGAGTAGAACTGCCCCATAGGGTTTCCAAGGAGCACCTAGTGGATTCAAACTGCCAATCTTTTGGTTAGCAGCTGTAGCACTTGACCACTGTGCCACTAAGTCCCCAAGCGCGTATAGGTATATAAATACAGAAACAGATTTATCTCAAGGAAATGGCTCACGTGATTGTGGAAGCTGGCAAGTCTCAAATCCATGGGTCAGGCATCAGGCTGGTAACTTCTGCTGACTCACACGGTTGTAGGGCCTGACGAACGCAAATCAGCAGGCTAAGTGCTTAGCTGCTAACTAAAAGGTCAAAGTTGAAGGGAGAAAGAAGTGGTAGTTGCTTCCATAAAGGTTACAGCCTTGGAAACCGTGTGGGGCAGTTCTACTCTGTCCTATAGGGTCACTGCAAGTCAGGATGAATCAATAGCAACAGGTTTTTTGTTTTTAGTGCCGCTCTTGGGGTGAAATGTCCGCTGCCGGTGCAGCTTTTGAACAGCTCTTCGCTCCGTCAGGAGAGCTTCGCCGCACTCTGCTGCTATTGTCCGGGCCCACTGGTTGTCTCGGGGGTTCCTGGCATCATCACTGCTCGCCCACAGCCCTAGGCGTGTTACAGGGCTTTTACACGGGTCTGAAGGCGTTTCCAGTGCCGGAGTACTGGGCTTCTACGCCCTAACGGACGCACCAATCCCTCTCAGATCTCAGCCAAGAAGCTCCCTCCTCGGGTAGCACCTACCTGCCCTGGATGGCACCTGCACTCCAGGCAGGCTCTGTGCTCCGGCCGACGCGCCCTGCCGCGGCCTGCTCTGCTGGCCTCTCACCGCCACCTCTGGGCCTGCTGTGGTCTCTGGTGCTTTTGGTGCCACCCAGCCCTGAGTGCGTTACAGCTCTGTACTGTGTACAGTTTTTTACCTGGCCTGGAAAGGGCCTCAGCACAGGGCCTCTGTATCCCAAAGGAGGCGGTCTCCTCCAGGCACTCATCAACCAGAATGCACCCAAACCTCTGTGTTTCAGGGCTCCTTATAAGCCATTCCTCATGCTCCTTGTCAATTACAGGGTGAGGTCTCCTTACTAGACTGAAGCACAACAAA